GGACGCCGCTGCCGACTGCCGCGCTCCGTCGCTTACAAGAGGCCTCTGCTCGTATACGTCGCTATTTCTCGCTTCGTCTCGTATCGGATTCGAACAACAAAACGGCTAACACGGCTGAGTGAAACAAATATCGGCTCATCGTTCAGGCTTTGCCGATGAGCCAAGTATTGACAATGACGGCGTCACTATACCAGAGCTAATGCGGCTATAAAACTTCGCGCAGGCATTCTTGTCCTAAGCCTGATCTACTGCAAAGTTGCGACAGCTTTGAATGAGAGAAACGCACAAAGCTATATCTGTTAGTCACGAGTGAGCAGAATTGTCTTTTTTTTTCTCGTTTCTTTTTTTTTTTTTTGCCCCGCGTATATGCTTTTAAGAGGGTATGTCTGTTAAGTGCTTCTTTTGACCCGACTGAGTGTCATCTGCAAAGAACCGCAATGGACGAGACCGGCAATTGCAGCTATAAGGAGACCAGATTTTCATAGAAAGTAGTGTAAAGTGTAAAAGTAAATGTATATTATGCAAGAAAATGGTATACCGATACATACACCAAATGAGCTATGTCATGGAGGTCCACTGGAGAGTGACGCATACCGCAATCTAAGTAAATCGAGGCAAGTTGACGCCGGAAAGGTTGAATATAGCGAAACACGCATGGCGCGAGATAGGTGATGTTCCCGAAGAACGCTAATCGAATCACAGTTGCGCATCCGACGGCTCGTGGACCGCACAAACCCACGTTTTCAGCTTTAGTCGCATTGGGATTCCCCACTGCTTTGGGCTCAAGAGCCCATTCATTTCGGCAGCTTCACTTCAACTCGCGTATTCACCAATAATTGCATTAATTGCACCGCTTTCATTTCTGGTGGTCCCCAACCTCACTGAAACGACCGCAATGTGGGTGTCTTATAACACTTTGACACGAACGCATTTGTTGTGTTCTTGCACTTATCAAAGTTGAGGGCCGCGTTTGGAAATACCGGTTTAAAATTGTTCTCATGATGTCCCCTGCTAGAACGCGCTTTTTCTTTGTATGTTTTCCGCTCACCCGTTCTCATTGCCGTTTCGCTTATCGCTCTCTTTCTGTTGCCCTGCTGTGCCCCGCATATGTATACTTGCTGTGTTTTTATTTACTTTGTTATCAAACCGACCCTGCCTGTTCTTTCTGTCCTAAGAAGGTATATAGCTATCTTTGTTATATCCTATTTTGCTTTTTATCGCGTCGTCAAAGATTTTTTTATTGTACATCCTCTGTCATTGTTCATTGATACGTGGGGTATGTCCCTAAACCACCATACGATTATGAGAGACGCCGTAGTGGAGGGCTCCGGAAATTTCGACCAACTGGGGTTCTTTAACGTGCATGCACCCAAATCTGAGCACACGGGCCTACAACATTTCCGCCTCAATCGGAAAAGCCGCCGCCACTGCCGGGACTCGACCCGGTGACCTGCGGGTCAGCAACCGAGTGTCTTTGCCACTAGACCACCGCGGCGAAGCCTCTGTCATTATAGTCAAGAGTTGTTGTTTTTTTTTTCAACTTCTTTCATTCTACCGTGTCGTACACTTCTCGTTGGCGGAAACTAGCAGTCACAGCGCACCCTTTTGCGCTGACTGTTTTAAATTAGTCATCAGGAGTTTTACGGGTATAAAGTCGAATCCCCTTATAACGACGCCAGTTTTAACAATATGTTGTGTATAATTATGTGATAATATGCTGTACCGTAAGCTTTTGTATGTTATCTATGCCCGCACACTGCATTATCGCTCATAACAGCGAATTCCATCTGTTGTTTGTCCTTGCGTCGAGGTAACTGAAAGCAAAATCCTTGAAAAGAAAAAGAAGAAAACAAGATATTCAAGCTGCTATATTCCTGCCCACAACACCGATGAACCGCAGTGCCCCTTCAGATTTGCGCTATGTTTTCTTTTTTTTTTTTTCACATGACGTTACGGTGCAGCGGCAAAGTTGGCTTTTGAAATCCGCGTCACAGCGGGAGTAATACAATAATAATATCCGTGGTTTTACGTCGCAAAACCACGATAGGATTTTAAGAGACGCCGTAGTCGAGGACTCCGGAAACTTCTACCAGGTTCTTTGACGTGCGCTGAAATCGCACAGTGCACGGGCCCCATGGCACTTCGCCTCCGTCGAAATGTGACCGCCTCGGCCGGAATCGAACCCACCACCTTCGGGTTGGCAGCCGAGCAGCATAACTACTGCTCCGCAGTGGTAGACACGGCGCGGGGTTGTCGGTGGCTTCCGTTAGAACATGCAGTTTGAGTGAAAAGTTGAGACTTCGAAGAGTTTCAGCGTCCGAAACGTCGGACGTTTTCATACTCTGGCTCTTTGAAGTTTGTGGTGGTCCCGTGAAGGCATCCGAGTTTTCAAACGTGTCCGAGAAACCTTGCAGCTTTGTGATCATTTTCTCTGATGTATGATGGCATATGCCATCTGATATAATAATTTTTTTTCACAGCAGGCTGTCATCCCTCTATTTTTCTTTCTTTCTTTTGTGTGTGTGTAACCGGTTCACAGCAATTACCGGTTATAACTAGGAAATTTTTGTGGCACTTGTGTGTAGTTATAAGTGGGTTCAACTGTATTGCAAAGCACATGAGGCCAGCCGCACTGGTTTGATGACAACTATGTTCAAATTGTTGCGTTAGTTGTGGCGATGTATTTCAGTGCGCAGCGGCGCCCGTTTTCATATTAGGTACGCAGCACTTTGAAGGGTCGGGCTGACGTACGCTGTCGCATGCTGTGATCTCATGCTGTTCTTGTTGCTTGGCGTAACGCAGGCAAAACAGAATGCGTCATGTAGCTTATTGAGCGTGTTCTTGTTCTTGTTGACTTTAACTTGTGGTTCATGATCGCGCCAAAGAGAAGTCTTCTTCCTCTATTTCTTCGAGTGCCTTGATGATGATACTGAATTCAGAAAACGTTGGAGGCCCGGGCTGTCGTTTGTTTTGGTCACTTGGTTTAACGCAGGCAAAGCCAAGTATAAAACAAAGGGGCGGTGGAGCCAGCGAGAAATATAAAGAAAGAGAAATAAATGAGGAAATAAGAAGCAAAATAGAACTGAATATAAATAAACAGAAAAAAACAGGAAAACTGGGAAAATATAATTAGAAGAGGAAAAAAAGAAAACCGACCACAAACAAGAAAGAAAAGGGTACTGTCTCCGCAATTCCTTCAATATTACCACTTTTAGTTCAAAGTGCCTTAATTGTTTGCACCTTAGCATCGGTCTGATGTAATTATATGCCAGTAGAGGTTGCACCCGATCGAAATAAACGATCGAGAATCCACGACCGCCATTCTCGGTGTTGGCCCTATCTCTCTGTTTTATGGGTGTTGTCTTGCGTCAAGCGAGGCTGCACTACACCGGAGTATGGATACATCAGGCGCGTGAGTGCAAAGCCGCCGCGCCACTGCGTCATGTCGGCTTTTTTTTTTTTTTTTTTTTGACGGTCTCTCTCTTCTCGTTGCCCTCGTTTCCTCGAGTGCTTGTATTATGCACGCAAAGCTCCAGCATAAGACCGCACTTTGCTGTGTCATATTGCGAGTTCGGATCTCGGCCCGCTGAGACAAAAGAACGAGCCGATGCACGGGGGGTGGAAGGGTGCATTCCAGTGCTCCTCGCCGATGCCAGCGCCCCGTTATCAGCGGCAATATATTTCGGCACGTTCCTTTTGCTGTGTTAGCCTGTTCTTGTTTTGTTTTTGTTTGTTTTTTGTGTGTGTGGTCGTTATTCCTCTCTTTGGATTTCGAGTGCGAGACTGGGTTTGAAAACGGCTTGCGAGGAAAACGGCAAAATAAAAAAGTGCGGTGTTGCGAAGCACAATGCACTCCCCCCTCTCTCTCTCTCTTTGTGAGAGGTCTCTCATTTCCAATTCCCAGATAGAAGGCACGCGTCCAAAGTCTCCGCCTGGAGCCGCCTTTGAAGTAGAATATTTAATCACGGCACAAGAAGGAGTGCATCGCAGTTTCCCGTCGGGGAGCCGTTTGATTGCATTGTCGGCAAATTCCCGGTGGTGCGAGGGGGACATCGGCGACAACGAGAGGGTCTCTTCGAGTGCGTGTACGTGCAGCTCTGTTTGGCTCAGCGAAAAAAAAAAGCAGTCGTTTCGCACAAGTTATAATGCAATCTCGTCTCTAGTATCTCGAATTCGCCGTTCGAGTATCTCGCTACGATGTCCACACGTCGGTGCTGCGTCGACAAAACAAAGTTAAATCTTCTTTTTTTTTTCAGGAAGTATCGCTTCGTGTGGGAAGATATCTTTGTGCTTCGCGGTCTCCTATACACTCACTCTCCGCAAGGAACTCCTTTCGTGCCAGTCAGTCTGACGTTTTCATTGCTGTGTCCGGTAGCAGAGCCTACAGACCTGCTTAAATCTGGCGACGTTTGGTGTCTCCTTTATACGGGGACACTGCAGTGTTTCCCCTACGTGTACCCGCGTGAACGGCCGTCTCCGAAAGTCACTACGCTATAGAGGAACAACAAATGCACAGACCCTTCGTAACCTGCGTTTGAATCACAGTATTCCTGTTATCTTCCACGGAAGTCAACTTGCAAATAAAGCATAAGCAGCTTCTTGTTTTACGTAATGTTTTTCTTCGTCTGGATAGCCTATTTACAAAGGAAAGGCACGATTGGGCAGCCAGAGACGCCATCTGTCTTTCTGTCTATTATCTATCTATCTATCTATCTATCTATCTATCTATCTATCTATCTATCTATCTATCTATCTATCTATCTATCCGTCTGTCTGTCTGTCTGTCTGTCTGTCTGTCTGTCTGTCTGTCTGTCTGTCTGTCTATCTATCTATCTATCCGTCTGTCTGTCTGTCTGTCTGTCTGTCTGTCTGTCTGTCTGTCTGTCTGTCTGTCTGTCTGTCTATCTATCTATCTATCTATCTATCTATCTATCTATCTATCTATCTATCTATCGATCGATATGTGGTGACCTCACCTTCGTCGCTTTCTTCCTTCGCAGAGGATCGAAAGCTGTTCGTGGGCATGCTGAGCAAGCAGCAGACTGAAGACGACGTGCGCCAGCTCTTCCAGTCCTACGGCACGATAGAAGAGTGTACCATCTTACGGGGCCCCGACGGCCAGAGCAAAGGTGTGTCTTTAGAGACCAATTTTATTTATGGAGCTATGCTTGCCTTAAATAGGCGTAATTTGCAAAAATTACCGCTAGCTTCGTGGTTCCATTGCTTTGATAAGTGCTTGCACACGTATTACTTTATTTATTCGGGGTCCTCACGGGCCATCAATTGGAGCATGGCATGAACGGCTTTACAAAAGGTTACACAATGAAAAAGTAGCGAGAATATCGGTATACGATAAATCACAGGTATAGTAACGGTTCTGATACAGTAGCTAGTTACAAAGGTCATATGTAGTGTCACTCATTCACTGGTATTTGGTTTCATACTCTCATCTGAGTATCATTACCACTTCATTGCCCGTACTGTATATTCCGCTGCAACGTTATTCAACAGTATTACTGTCATCCGACACACAAGGGAAACATGCAATGAGAGGGAAATTTATTAAAACGAGGAAACTTCCAGGTCAGTCTGTGTAGAAATTCCTATACTGTTGCACTACGTTGAGAAACGACAGCGAAAGGTGAAATGATATCACTTTAGCGCATATCAGTTTGAGCCTGAAGTAAAGATGCTATACCATCAAGAAGGGGACTTGAACAAAGGACAGTATGAGCGCTGATTTCCGACTTTTCCTTATTGCGTGATCCTACAGCAGAATATATAGCTCACCTTGCTGCACACGTGGTGCCACAAACGCGACAACACCGTCAACGTCTGGCGCAGCACACGCAATCACAAAATGTAGTTTTAAGCTGACATCAAATTAACAATTCTATATCACCACTTCACAGTACGCGCCTCATAATTTAACTGATTAAGAGCACGCACACAGACATGGACACTAGAATAGCATATTGGACAGACCAAGAGCGCCTATACTCGCATGTAAAGTTTATTCGAACGAAATGTAGGTACATATATATATATATATATATATATATATATATATATATATATATCAATTCTGTCAGATGACCTGGCAGGTGAAACAGGAAAAAACAAAAAAGTGCTATGAAACGCGTGTCTCAGATCATATCCTCGGAATGCTGATATATAAGACCTAGTGATATATATGTACCTACCTTTCTTTCGAATAAACTCTAGTTGCGAGTAGACGCTCTTTGTCTGTGCAAGTTCCTGTTCTATATTTTCCGTGTCTGTGTGCGCGCCCTTAATCAGTTAAAAGATGAACCAATATTAACTAGCCCAATTATCCGTGCTGCGCCTCATAAAGTTGAACTCTTTTTGAGATAAGGCTACGAATAGCGTACTCACACACAGCTTCGCACGTTTTGCGATAGCGTAGTGTGCGAAGCTGTGTGGGAGTACGTCATCCGTATAGCCTTATCTTAAAAAAAGCTCAATCATGACATTGACGAGCACCGGTAGTGAGCGCTTCGATAGTTTCAGCTTTCGGTGCAGCGGAAGCTTAAACTCGTTGCCGCATTCATGGCTCAAGTTACGAACTCTTCCACGCGTTCCTGAAGCGTTGTGTGATATATGCATAAGTACATGCGTAGGTTATATGCCCTATACGGCCGCCCAATGAACGTCCTCATCTGTGGAGTGCCACTAGTTGACGTTTCTCTATACGAATGGCGACGCTTTGTGTGACTCCATATCGACTGCCTGTGTTATGTGCTTGTTCACGCAATCTTTGCGGGGGACTGGGCAAATGCTTTGTCTAGGCGTGTGTTACCTGCTTTAGCTATTACAAGGGTTCTATCACGACCTTTGACGTTAGTCGTCGGAGTGAACATGCGTTGCTAGGCTTTAGCGAGGTGTATCAACGTCAGACAGTGCTATAGCTTCCAAACACCAATAGACACTGCTCGAGCTTTCATATACCAATCGACAAGGAACAATCAGCTATACTTCTGTGACGACATGGTGCACTTTCGCGCTATGCGACTTCTTATGACTAAGTGGTTCTAAGAGAGAAAGGAAGAGAAAAGTGGGCGCCGTAACCGTCTGCTTCAGCGAGCGACACTTCAACAGTAGCTCACAAGGGATGGGGATGAGGAGGTAAAAAAAAAAAACCTTTATTCCTACCCTTAAAAGGGTAGGAATAAAGGTGTAGAGAGATAGAAAGAGGCCTGAGGTGGTAAGCCAGAGAGAGCGACGACTAATCAAGGGGATAGGAGGCATATGATAGATGGAAACACGGTCACAGGAGTCCGAGGACAGGGCACCACTTGCGAGAGCTCTTGTCGGCGTCAGGAGGTGGCGTAGAGCAAGTCCAGTTGGTCATAGCTACACTGTCGCAGAGACATTCATCATGTTTTTACCATAAATCCATCCGTTCAAGCCTCTCTTTTTTCTAAGGGTCTCGGCTACCCGCATCTGGGGATCCAAATTAAATTGTTATGTCATTTTGTGATATAAATGCATGATGAAAAGTAAGTAAAAGTATAGAAATATTTGATCTTTGGTTCGCACGCGCTCAGTCCTGGTGGCTCACCTACGAGAGCTATAGGCTACAACTCACTTGAACAGCATAAAGTGTTCTGTCTTAATCTTATCTGCACTTTTATGCCTCCAAATTTTATGTCCATTTTACAACAAATACGAAATGTATCGAATATTATGAAGGGTTTAACGTCCCAAAACCACCATATGATTATGAAAGACGCCGTAGTGGAAGGCTCCGGAAATTCCGACCACCTGGGGTTCCTTAACGTGCGCCCAAATCTGAGCACACGGGCCTACACAACTTCCACCTACATCGCAAAATTATGAAACGTAAAAAAAGGTAAAATAGGCCGGGCTAATCTTGGCGTGATGTTGCAACGTTGAAAGACACATCAAAATAATAATAATAACAATAATAAAAATAAAAACGACAATAAAATACTATTTAACAAAAGTGGTTGAGCGTTTTTGGTATGAGAGCAGATAAAAGGTAATAAACAACTTACGCTTCAAAAGACATACAAAATGCAATTTGTCTTTATTATTAGCAGATAAATGACAGCGCGAAGTATTGGGTGTTTGCTGGGGCTTGCATGGTAGAACCGCATCCTTCAGTCAGCCTTTATTGAATGCGTTTTCAAATATCTAAACGCAAATCAGCTCGGTATGCATAGTTATTGGTTCCGCTCATTCCATGACATAGCTCTGCATGTGGCATTGTCAGCCGTAACCATGTGCTTGTTTGAGCCTTTGGCGATTTGCCGGGAAATTTCGCCGTTCCGCAGTTATGTACCCCAGGGAAGATGAATATTTCATGGCAGAGAAACGAAACCAGAAGAACGCAAAGACGGGCCTTTTTACGACTTGCCGTGTCAGCGCGAGATTATCGCAGCGCGCGCCACAACTTCGCTCGGCTGGTGGCGGCCTCCCGCGGCGTTCCCCGGAAACTGCCGCCAGGGGACCCGTTAAATGCGCGAGCTCGGCCTATCAGCGCGCCGGGAAGAGTTCCCATTGTCGGCCTGCTCTGCGGGCCCCGAAAAGCGCTCGTGGGGGCAGGACAGCTTTTTGCTTGTTGCTGCTCGGACTCCGAACTAGCTCTTTGGGCCAAGGGAAACTGGACAGACGCTGCGTAGTGGCCTCCGTTGTCGGCGCCAGTTATCTCGTTAACGACCGTGATTGGTTGGCGTCAGCTACGAATGCGGATATCGTAACACTGGGAAAGAGTTGGCGGAAGGCTGGAAATGTTGCAAGTTTGCGGATTGCAGCTGACCCGAATGGTGCTGATAGCAGTTACGATGCCCTGTACCAAGAGGACAATATCAATGCATTCCTACTTCGGCCGTAGATGGTGGCTGCTACGATAGGAAACTTTGTTCCTTAATCGTTTGTACTTTTCGGTGGTTTTTTTTTTTCTTTGGTGGGGGGGGGGGGGGGGGGCGCTTGTCGTCCATATGTCACCGAGGTCGTATGTGGGAGCACTCGCCGGAGTATTCTTATCATGTATTGTCTACAAAGCCAGACAAAAGCGATGTTATCTGGACATTGCGAATTCGGACCTCGAAGACAAGATAATTCTGCGACACTGCTGCCATTAAAGGCCTTAAGCTGTGCTTTGTACGCACAAACTATGTTGAAGAATGGAAACTCTGTTCACTTGTTTACAAAAACATCTCACGTTTTCCATTCAAGCTTTACTTTGCAGCGACTAATGTTATTTTTTATTGTTCCTGTTGTTCATAACACAGATTACCTAATACAGGACAGTACAGGCAGTGTGTTGGTTTTACCAGTGGTTGATGGTTAAGGCCCAACGTAAAATGTAATGTGCTATTACGAAATACTACTCCTTCAGGTGACGATTGTGCTGACAGCCTTGTGGCACCTAAGAAAAGCAAAAAAATAGAAATGTATTCAATGAACTTGCCCTCGATTCTCATCTTCGAGTCATCACTGCGACACGACTAAGGAAGCATGGCTGAATGCTTGCTCACGCGATTTCTTTATACACCTGAACGCCCAAGGTGCATCGCAATAGTCAGACGACGATATGGCACCACTCTATCGTATTTTCCACCCAGAAATGAACGCGTGTTAGATCCGAACAAGTGTAGAGTGTGCCGAGTAAAGTAAAAACAACCGTCGTAACGCTAAGAACTGCTCCAAGGCTCTCGAAGGCTAGCTCGTGGTTGCCCTAGCGAAGCCGCGCTAACGGCGTCGCCAAAGCCCGTCGTTACGAAGAGACACATCATCACCACTTCCCGGGTCTCCCTGGGAAGGGCGTACGACGCACAACCTCGCACTTGTCGCACTGGGCAGTGGGTCTGCTTCAACTAATTTTTTTTTTTTGCGCTGCTCGTCTCTTTGTACGACGGTACACTTTATTGTTTTTCTTTATTTGCCCCCTTTGACCTGATATCGCTGTCTGTCCGGAATTCGCGGCGGCACCAAATTAGGCTCGAATGAATCCTCCCGGATCATTAAGGGGAAGCGAGAGGGTGAACAAGACAAAAAGAAGTAAGCGAATGCGGCTGAAGAAGCGGGCGAGTACAGCGCAGCTCGCAATTTCGTGAGAGGGGAAGTGAAAAGCGGCAGCAAA